TGTGTGTGTGTGTGTGTGTGTGTGTGTGTGTGTGTGTGTGTGTGTGTGTGTGTGTGCGTGCGTGCGCGTGCGTGTGTGCGTGCGCGTGCGCGTGCGTGTGTGCGTGCGCGCGTGTGTGTGTGTGTGTGTGTGTGTGTGTGTGTGTGTGTGTTTATTTAATTGGTGATTTTTCATTCCATAATAATATAATATAGGTTTATTACGTCTCCCCATCTGTTTGGTGTTCCCCTGTTTGAAAGTAACCTGGAAGAGATTACTCTTAGCGATAAAGGCCGCTTTTGCTCACATTAGTTCTTACGTTACGTTTTTGTTGGAGTGTGTGAATAAAAAGCGTATATCTAGCTAAATTTTTAAAGGGTAAATATGGATAAAGGCTATTAATAAAACAATTAACCCCCATAAACTGATATTTTTGATTTTCTGCGTGAAGTTTTTAATTTTATGGTATGGACTAATGATGTACACCTATGAAATACACCGGCAATAAAAACACTAACGGACGGGTAATAGCAGATCTCGCGCCACGCGTATTGTACCGACGAATAAAACAAGAGACACATTCAATTTGCAACTGGGATATAATACATTCGAAACGCATACTGTTTAGCGATTATACTTATACACATGATAATTTACACTTATAATAAATCAAGAAGTAAATGAATGAAAGAACTTTCTATTCGGGTTATTCAGGGAAAGTTCTATTCTTCATCATTACAATGACAAATCTGGATTAACGCACAGTACAGTTGATACCAAAACGGCAGAGGACTAATAAGTTCGATTGTGCGTGTTGTAAATTTTGTGTGAAAACATGCTCGGTGTTCAGAGCTCGTGAGTTACGATTGATTTTAGTCGCAGTAGAACTCCTTGAGGAAGAGTTCGTTCAGGCAAGTACTGCCACCTTGTTTATTTCTGCCGCCAAGCAGTACTGTGCGCAGCACTGCGTTCCGGTTTTGAAGGGTAAATAAAGGTGCTGGTGAAATTACAGGCACATGGGACTTGTCTACTTATGTCTCGGGGTGACGGGCGCAGTGACAGTGCTCCTAAGATCTTTACGATTTAAAGCTCTGAGTGGCACTGCAACTATTATGGATAGTCGTGTCGCTTACCACCAGGCCCACGACTTATTCATCCCGTCACTTGGTATCATAATAAAAAACTATCTTCATTTGGCTGACAGTTTTTAATCGAGGGTACCTCAGTATTGGTCGCATTTTTCCCATTCATCCCAAATATAAAGAAAATCTTCCACCTCTAAGGGTGGCAAGCTAGGGGATGAATCCGGTTTCGCGCACTTTCCAGTAACTGATTTCAACAAAACTTGGCAAACAGATGTAATTCCACGAACTTTTGAGGTCGGATATTTTTTTTATATTAAATTTATTAATGGAAGATAACAAGAAATGTTCTTTCTTGTAATTACAATTGAACACTGAACGAAAGTAGTGTTTGTTAGTCAATCGAATGACAGTCCAGAATTTACATATCAATCAGTTGGTGACAACATTTATACTGCTATATTTATCTTGTTACGGCAACTAATTGTACTAGCAACAATATTAATATTAGTGAATCAATTTTTACGATAGATCAGGTTACCGCTGGTTAGAATAAACAAGATTAATGCAAAAGAGTCCTACCAGGGATTTAGCAAGTGGAAGTATAAAATAACTGCGTATTCTGGTAGGACACAGGTAAGATACATACACATACAAATGTACGTTTTCATTTCTACATAAAGATGACTTACAGTGTATTTTCCGTGTGATAATGTGACACGGAAAATACTTTTAGTTCCACTCTTCAAATTCACTTTTTTTCAACTAGATCTAAGTGTCATTTGTAATATTAGATAAAGGTAATAAAATAAACTACGAATAAAAGTTGCAAAGTGAAATAAATTGTAATGTTGTTAAGTAAATTAATGCTCTCATTAAATAATGTTATACCATATCTAGTTCTAGGTACATAAAATAAATAATGAAATAAAAATAAAATAATATATTTTTGCATTCGTTGCCGTGAATTTTATGTACAACATACAGGATGTGGTTTAGTGCAAACATTTAAAAGGATTATCTGGTCTCGAAAACGAAGGAGGAGGAAAGTGAAATTGGCAAAAATAAAATGATCACTCCAAAAAAAAGTACAACGTTCTCAAGTAATATAATAAATATCACGGAGGATAAACGGCAACGAAACATGGCAGATGTCAATCGCAAACAGTTTTCGGTATTCTCATAATTTTACGAGAGATATTAGTCGACCCTCAGCACTCGACATGCAACCAGTAATCGGCGGCAGTAAAGATTAGTTTACACGCGAAGTCTTGTGTAAATTTGACAATTATATATCAAAATATTATCACAAACTTTCCTTTTGACAAATATATTATTTTTACAGTAAAATAATATGAAAAAAAAAGCAGATTTATCCAAACTAATCCAGTCGCAAACGATTTGAATGAAAAAGGAACGTGTTTTGATAGAGATTTTGATTATAAGTTCCATTGATGACGAGAATAAGTATTTGTTTTTGTATAATAGAAATTTTAGTGACGTTTTCCGTAAACTTTGCGTTTGACACATTGACTTACAATTATATGGACATCGCGTCCGCGCTAAAAAGTGTCCGAACTTATAGGGCGTTCAAATCGTATACAGAGCGTCATTCACGCTTTAGTCTTCGTTTGTTCGACTGACAGCGAAGCAAGCAAAATTAGACAGTACTGCGATGACATTACAATTTAAATTCAACGTTTTAGCTTTTTCATATTCCTTAACATGTCACTACGTTTAAATAGGTTGACTTGGGACATTTTTTTCGTGGTTTTTGTATTAGACCCGTCGTCTATTTATTTGTAAGTCAATGATTTAACGCAATCTTTTTCCGGGCATACTTGTGGATTTGTGTGTTTCTCACATATAATATTTTTGTATAATTCTTTTTTCCAATTAAATCCTATTTCATTTGTTACATCATTCATATCAACTGATAAACAACTAACTCTATGACAAACAGTTTTTAGTCAATTACCTTACACCTTGTATACATACTTGGGCTCAACTCACAATGGCGCAGAGTCGAAGCATCACGACGCGTCATGTTTTTCGCCTATAGCATATTCATCCCTATTTTCCTAACATAAAGTACAAATTTGTGTTATGCAAATATGGAATCGCGCGACGATGCTTAGTTAAAGTCGAGCGGTTTAGCGCGTCGCCGTGCGTTTCTTGCGCGCAGTGAGGTGTCAGACGCCGACCACCCGCCACGATGACGCGCGTCGAAGCGTGTCGCCATGCGGTGTGACTGGCAAACAGGACGCGACGCGACGCTTCGACTCTGCGCCAGTGTGAGTTGAGCCTTAATTTCAAGTAGGTGGAGTCTTTATTGTTTGTTGAAAAGCGATGAATAGTATGA